AGTACTCTTCTAGTATATATATATATATATATATATATATATATATATATATATATAGGAACAATGGATTCGATGATTAAATATATAGTTTTGAAACAATGAAATTGATGACTAAATATGTAATTTTGGAGCAATGAATTAGATGATTATATATGCAGTTCTGAAGAAAAAAAGAATATGATTTAGTGATTAAATATACAGTTTTGAAAAAAGCGACAACAGCAAGGTAATTTACCAATAAAAACAAATAATTACAAAAAAAAAATCCAATCTGAATCTTACAAACCAAACGTGATTTATAAAGAAATGGATTTCAAATCCTACAAACCAAACACAAAGTATTCCAAATCCATTCCAATCCAAATCTCTCCATGAAATCCAAATCCCAAAAAAAAAAAACAGTCATGTAAACCAAACGGACGAACCCTTAGATTATATACAGAAATACCATGTAAATCAGGTGTATTGATTTTTTTTATCCAACAGAAGGAAGGGATTCGTGACGTTGGATGATTGGTGTGAGAAGGTGACAAGATGCAGTCGTACGTAAACAATAGATAGAGGCATCGGTAGTGGTTCAAGTCCGGAGGTAGAGGTGGAGACGTATGCAGGTGGAGAATGGGTTGCGTTATGTTGATGGTGGTTCAAAGAATAGGGCCATTCTGGATGTACAATGTAATTTCAGTAGTTATTTTTCTTTTCAGCAGTAAAATGCAGTCAGATGTGTAGAACAGTATAAGTGATCAAAGAAAAAAGTAACGAGTAAATGTATTAAACGAATGAACGTTAACATCAAAACATATTTTTTATATTTTTAAAATATAATTTAATATAATTCTGAAATAATATAAAAAAAAAGCCAACAAAACCAAAAGCGAATATTTAATTAAATTATATATTATATATATATTAAAAAAAAAACACTTACTTTGTTGTTTTATGGGGATTACACCTCAATTCCATCCCTTTCCCTTAGACCTCACAAAAATCTAAATGAATCAATTAAAACAAAAACAAAAATAAAAACAAAAACAAAAACAAAAACAAAAACAAAACAAAATATAAACCTTGTTTATCTACACACATTCATTTCCAATTTCACATCTTCTTCTTCTTCATCTTCTTCTTCTGTACCTGCTACTATGCCTAATTGGCTATGGCTGGCTATTATCAGTCACAGTCCAACCCACATACCTCCAACACGATACCCCCTCGATCGAGAAACGGGTTCACCCGCACCCACAATAGAGACAAGATCGACGCCAAAAGAATCGACCACACCACGATGATCGTCGGTACCCCGCTCTGTTTTCCCATCATACCCTTCAAGAAAGGATACAAATGAAGTATCACCCATATCGCGAAAAACAGTCTCCCGAACAACGGACCCCATGACTCGTACCCGTTGCTGATTGCATCCGAAATCCCAACTATCACCCCGATTATGTTGAATATCAACAGGGTTAATGGTGGGATCAACAGGCTCGTCCACTTGAACACGTACAGCTCCGAGAATTCACCATCGTCTCCTCCCTTTGACGTCACCGTGAAGTTGGTGTTCACACCCGCCAACACCTTCAGCAGACCTTGAAACAGAGCAAACAGATGAGCCGAGACACCACCGATAACCCAAAACTGTTCGTTTCTCCATAAGTCGTCTATAGCCACACCTCCCCATTGCATCTCCAAGATACTTGTGACCGCAATCGACAAAAACATGAGCATGAACAGAATGCTTGCGTAGTTGCTTATCTGCGAACAAATACGATATATGATTGAAAAATCCGTCACATAAATGAAACTAATTTCTAGAACGAAAATGTTCGATTTGTTGTTACCTCAGGAACGATAAACTTTCCGGTGAGAAGACAGACGGCTGGAAGAGTACAATAAGCGACCAACGGAATGGATGTCAAAGGATACACGACCGAGTTTATATAAGAAAACCTTTCCAATGGCTTTAGACCACAGCCATAGCCGTACCATATGGGACAATGCCGACTCAGCAAGATCTCGACGGACCCCAGGGCCCACCTAAGAACTTGGTGAAGACGATCCGAAAGATTGATTGGAGCCGAACCCTTAAATGCCGGCCTCTTTGGAATACAATACACCGATCGCCAACCATGGCAATGCATCTTGAACCCCGTCAAAATATCCTCAGTCACCGAACCATAAATCCATCCAACCTGTTTATAAACACGTTTATTTGCAACGAAAAGCCAAGAAACGGATAATTAATTACTCTAAAACCGACTTTCGTTTGTATTTTTACCTCCTTCCCCCATTCGGTTTTATCTTCATAACCACAACTTATGACATGAATGGCTTCTTTCAAGAGTGATGCAGAGGTTGCCCCAGGAGGAACGCCACCGTCTTCAAGAAGCGTCGATGCAATAAACACCGGAGACTGACCGAACTTCTTCTCGAACTTTATCTGCGGCATTAGAGACGTCTTTTCACTATCGATTCCTGCTACACACATCCATGTTAGAGTTAAATACCCGCTCTAAACAAATCGGCCGAAAAAGAGTAAATTGCTCGAAACCCCCCATTATTTTACCTTCGATTCCTTCTTCGATATTCTCGAGCGCATGTATTTGAGTCGAAGCCTCCTTAACTTTCTTGCTCTTCCTCGTGGATTTTCCTTTGCTTTTCTTCTTACTTGATCCGAAACAACAGCAAAACCATTTCGGCAAGCAATTGCATGTTTTGCCAGGGGCTTTCTTCTTGACCGGGGCATCGTATCCGTACAACGCTTGTCTCCTGAAGACACACCCGGTTCCGACATAAATCGGTCCTTGGATTCCATCGAGCCCTTTCATGTTAATCTGAGAAACAAAGACAAAATAATAAATTAGCTTTTCACATGAATCAAATGCATTTAATGAATCTGGTTGGGCAGAGATTGTACATACGTCAAAGAACACGACATTGCGATTCGAATATCTGTCGTGCCGATCGATCCCATCAAACCGTTGCGGGAATTGCACATAGCAGATTTTCTTTCCGGACGTTGGGTCCATCATGAAACACATGGATTCACGGAGGGCCTTGCTGTTGTTTATGTAGTGATCACAATCGACATTGAGCATGTAGGGTGCATTGGTAACTACAGCCGACACTCGGATCTTCAGGAAATAAAACACGAGATTTGAAAGTTATAACCAACATGAAAAAACAGATTATAAAAACTATAAGCTACAAGAACATAGATGAAAATTATACCAAAGAATTCATGGCACCGGCTTTCTTGTGGTGGTCGAACCCGGGTCTCTTTTCACGAGAAACATAAACGAGCCGTGGTAACTCGTTTCCTTCAATGTCACGAACACCATTTTGCCCGAGAAATACCTATCAAATTAAATTCATTAGAATCAAATACATGTGAATAGTCGAATCATTCTTAGGTCCATCATGACCATGGTGCACCAGGGCTCGAACCCATGAGTGTGGTTCAACAGAAGAGAAATTGCACACACACCTGGATCATTCCAGGATGATCCCTAACATTGTTTCCGGGCCACGGGGTACCATCTTGCATCGTCCATCCTTCTTCCGGAACCTTCTGTGCCATAGTCACAAGTCCATTTATTCGTATTTTGAACTCTTCATAGTCCCTCTGCATTTCAAAAACAAGTTCGTATCGATCACCAAAGCAAGAAATATAGCTCTTTTCAAGTTTTACATACAAAAAAAGATTTGAAAAGCAACAAAAACTATACACTTACCTTCATAGCTCGTCGTTCACGGACAAATGCAGGGTGGACTTTGTCTTTAAGATAATCAACCTTCTGAGCAAAATACCACTCGGGAGCACGCGGCTCGATGCTAAACTTCTTGCAAAACGGGACCCACTTCCGTGCGAATTCAGATGTCTCTGACAGAGCTTCGAACGTAAGCATGGCAGCACCATCGTCAGAGACATAGCAAGCAACTTTCTCCACTGGATAATCGACCGCAAGGATTGATAACACAGTGTTTGCAGTAATGAGTGGTGGTTCCTTTAACGGATCGACTGTACTCACGAAAACATCTATAGGAGCTAACTCAGAAGGCTTGCCCTCTTTTTCGTACCTGGATATAAAGCTCATTCAACTTCCAAACTCAAGAGATCAAGCAAGATAAACAGAGCCAAGGGGTCACGTACCTTAGTGACAAACGGTCGAGGTATGTTTCTCGTTCAATTGGGAACCATTTTGGGAATTGATCAAAGATCCATGATACGGCAAACCATATCTCGCAAATAATTGAAGTCATCCACAAAGCGTATGCATCATTGACAGGGTGGAGGATTCTATAGTGAAAGAAGAGCCCAAGAATCACGAGACGAACTATGATCACCATTCGGTATGGACTTATCTTGCTGGAAGAAATCGGTAACTTTCTTGACAGCGGTTGCCTCCCCTCATCCATCCTGCATAATGTTTCAAATTCTACATTAAAAAGATGAACACTCGAGTGATTTTGCTGATTAAGTTCATTTTCAGCACATGTTTCATCAACAAAATTTACAACTTTTCAGCCTTAATGATCACACATCAAACAAATGTTCATGATTAACGAGTTACTAAATGTAGAACCGATAAAAAAACCAAGAAACTTTCTAGTAAAACCAGATCTTTAATATCCACACCGGTAACGATGATACGTTCCGATTCCAGTAATACTATCAATAAAACACGAGCAAGCACTTACTTTGGTAAATCAGGATCATCTGCTTCATCACCATGCCCACCGCCATCACCATCTCCTTGGTGCTTGACCATTTGAAGTTTATCATTCTGTCTTTTCCGCCATTCTTCCATTCTATCCTTCCATGCAACCGTCCCATACCCGTATACCGCCAAGTCTTTCTTAGGATCCATTGGCCTAGGTGGCACTGCACCACCAGCAACCACCACATCAAAATTAATCCAACAACTATGCATGAACATCATAAAGATTCCAACACAGATTAAAAGCCAAAAACTTACATGAGACTGAAGAAGCAGTATCAGAAAACGGCATAGGATGGATCCTTTTTGAACGGTTCATAAACGGTGGGATGATTAAAGCATGCTTATCAGCCGAGATCCCATCATCCTATCAATTAAATTCGACAACTTTAAATAATTAGACAAATCACCAATCTCAAATTTTGATCTTTAAAGAAAATATCAGTCTAATGCTGTTTACCTCTTGACCATAAGTAAGAAGAGGGATCTCAGGGTTCGGATACGCCTCTGAAGGGGTGGCAAAACCAGAAACATTTGATGTTCCACGGCCGATATTAAGGCGGGAAGAAAGCATAGCCTCAGCCACACCATGAGGGTCTCTCCTCTCATTGCTCCCAATATCAAATTCATTATCCAAATCATCAAATTCATCTTCATCTTCATCACCATCCACTCTTGGACTCCCTACAGTTGATAGGTTACTTTAAATTTTCTATTTTTTTTCACTAAATTAGACTACAAAACAATCAGAATTACCCAATTGACAACAAAATTGCATTGTTGGTACCTTTAATTCGCTTAAATCGAGTCTTGCATTGAGGACAAGCTTGATTTCCCTCTCTTCTTTCATATTCATAACAAGGTCTGCAAATGGGGAAAGCACACTCATTGCAAGCAACAAATGGCTCACCATCCACTGTTATTTCAATCTCATCTCCACAAATCTGGCAAATCTGGCCACTCAATTCTTTGACAGAAGTCACCTAAGTAAAAAACAAGATTTAGCTTCAGATCAAGAAATCAAACACCCACCAACAACTCCTCACCTAAAGTCAACTATGAATCCAATGACACATCAAAGATTTGGCAATCACATAGTGTATGGAGCTACCAAACAATGGGGATCTTTTAGTAGTTATCGAATATAGGAATATGAGACTTTTTGGGAAAGAAAGAACAACTGAGGATGGCTTGTGAATTCAAGTAGCAACATTTGAGATACAGATGAACTCAAAGCCATCTTAATTGTAAATCATCGTATTATCGTAAGCCACCGACAGAAATTAATACGGAAAAGATTGAACTTTTCCATCTTCACACTGAAATTCTGATAACAAGAACTTGAACTAAGTTCTCCAGAAGCACGAATCTAGATAACAAACGAAAAACCCAGATGAGAATTTGGGAGATTTAAGAAAGAATCTTTAGACTTACTCTTCCAACTTCATCAGCATTGATTAGAACAAACTCGTTCCTGTTGTGTGAACCAGCAACAAGTCGTCCTTTGGTATCCATTTGAATCGCCAAATCAAGACACGAATTCAATCACTTAGTGAGAGGGAAGAAGAAGGAAAACCCCAATTCACACGACGAATCCACCCATCAAAGAAGTAGTAGAGGGCTTCTTTTTCTCTCTTCCTATCTCTATTTTCCTTTACCCTTTCTCCCTTCTTTTGTACTCACTCTCTTAATACACATCCAGTCACAAGAATCACCAAACCCACATTAAGAGAAAAACAACAAAAGGGCTGAAAATGAAATGTAAACAGCAAATACGTGTGTAAATTTGTAAAAAGAAATGATTAAACAATCAAAAAGAGGTAAAATTTGTGATTGATTCTTTTCTTGAGAGAGAAAATGGAGAGATTAAGAGAGTATTATATGAGTGCTGGTGTATGCATCAAGAAGAGATCTCGACAAGTTGTTGGGTTAAATTCATAGAGAGAGAGAGAGAAAGAGAAAGGCGTTGAAAGTTAAACGCGTAATACAGAAGGGACACAGATCGGTTTGATGGATCTGTCTTCTTTTTGATAATTGTAGAAGTGTGAGTTGTAATTTGGGAAGTGGGGCCTGGCGGAGAGGTGGAGGTTCGCGGTGGAGGGTGGGTCCCACCAAAGGGTGGTGGTCGGAGTGGGAAATGTCGGTCGACGGCCGGCTGAATTTATTATACACTAAAACAAAATCCCTAAAAACCACTTCACTGTGAAGTGTTGTAGCAGTAGCAATTATTGGAGTGGGGTTTTGCGATATCACTTTCTACTCAATGTTGTGGGGTGGGGATATTTGTATTCCTGTTTACGTATAAAATACACCCTTTATTTGTAATTATTATTATTTTTTATTATTATTATTAATACTTTTCTTTCATTTAATCAACTCTTATTATTATTATTATGAAAATGTAATATTTTCTGTTTATAATTTAATCTTATTATTATTATTTTTTTATTAGTATTTAATATCTAAGAATAAAAAACATATTATTTTTAAAAAATAATACGAATATAGATAAAAATAAACTATTTCATTTTAAATTCTTAATTTTTTTATTAATATATTTTTTTCAATATTAACATCATTTTACATTTATTATTATTATTATTATATAACAATACCTTTTATATATATTTGTATTACAAAAATATTATTTTTTTATAAATAAAACATAATGCAAATCTAAACTAATTTATATTTAAAGTTCTAATAAAAGTTATTTTCTGAATTTTTAAAAATTGCTGAAAAATTGATGAAATTATTATTTGAATATCTAAAAACTTAAATAAGAATTGATGGATTATCTTTAAAGGTTTAAAATCAAAGAAAGATGATGGATTATTTTCTAATTTTTAGAGTTGCAGAATGATTAATGATATATATGAAAATATAGATAAAATGAAAATTAAGGATTAGCATATGAATTTTTAAAGTTTTTGTTCGATTTTTATATGGACAAACCGTACGACTATATACATATGGTTAAAATTTGTAAAATTACAAAATAAATGATATATTATTTTTTTATAGATAACAAGGCATATTATATTGTCTTTCTAGTTTGTTGATTTTAAATTTGATTAATATATAATACAAACAAAAATTATAATTATTATAGACTAATAAGTATTATTATCTATTAATTAAAGGGACAAATTGCATGAAAATGTAACGTATTTTAACTTGATTCATATTTTGGATAACGTATTTTTAAAACTTCCATTTTGTTATCTAAGATGTAAAGTTTTAAGCATTTAAGTACCCGGTTAACCGGTTACCATGTTGATGTGGCGAGTGATGTGGTATCCAACTCATTGTTAAGATATATATGACGATATTACTCGCCACATCAACATGGTAACCGGTTAATGTTTTTACCGGCTACCCGCTACTTAAATGTTAAAAAATTTACATCTTAAATACTAAAATGAAAGTTTTGAAAATACGTTACCCGAAATATGAATCAAGTTAAAGTACATTATTTTTTCATGTAATTTGACCTAATTAAAATACAGAAAAAAGTAAAAGAGAGGGGGGGGACATAAGAGTAAGGGGTCGTTTACCAAACACTTACCCGGCAAGTGCTTACCGGTAAAATTTAATATTATTATTTACTTACCGGGTAAGATTTTAGTCCACCAAAACAACATCGTATACAACAATTTACCCGGTAAGCGCTTATCGTGGTAAGAGACGTTGCCTTCACTTACCGGGTAAGACTCTTGGTCCTTATCTCGCTCTTACCGGGTAAGATTCTTGGTCTTTATCATATTCATGCTGTGAGGTAATTTTACTTGATAAACCCTTACCCGTGTAAGCGTTTGGTAAACGGCCCCTAAAAAAGAGATGTGAAATGATATCATTTTTCAAACTTGTAGGTTACTTAATGTTATTTATTATATATTTTTTAACTTTTTTAATAGGTAAGGCCCACAAATAACAACCCTTTTATTGTGTCAAATGAGAGAGAAACGTCCTATTTAATTTAATTTTTCAAAAAAATATATATATAATTAGATCATTATAATTTCTATTTTAATTTTTTTTAACATAATATTTTAGTCGTATAAATTTTATTATTCTATCTTTTTATAATTGGTTTTCAGATTATAATAATTATTTAATGGAATATTGACCTACTATTAAATGAAAACTTGAATAAAAATGAATTATCTTACCGTTGACACAATTGACTGATATAATAATTTAATTTTGTTTTCTTTTGTAATTCGACAGTTCATAAAAACCATATTTCAAAGATCGAATAATATTACCAAATGGTCTTTGGCATAGCGATATCGTAGTCTCTGCTTCTTAGGAGGTCAAGGGTTCAAACATCACCACAAATGAAGAGGGTTTGTCGTATATAAATATTATATACTTCAAAAAAAGATCGTATAATATTGTCAAGAATTAACAAGTTGTGATGGGTACTTAAATGTCATATTAATACTAGTAATTGTAATCAAAGCGGATTACAGTTAGTTGGGTAAAATATTAAAACCTTGGACCAATTCTTTTTATTTCGTTTGAAATGTATATAACAGTAATGCGATATTAATTTGCCAACAACTTAATAAGCCTCTTGACGCTCTTAGATTTATCCATGGACTTCGTTTGTCTTTGTTGATTATTTCACCTTCTATATTTAACATCACAAAGTCTTAAAAACAACTCATAATGCATTAAATACTACTATTTTATGCATTCAGTCTTAAAATCTCTTAATCTACAATTAAAATAACATATAGTACAAGTTACCAATGCACATTCTTACCTCTTCTTTTCGTGTTTCCAAGATACTTTTGATACATTTCACTTATGCGTTCACCCTCTCATACAACTGTTTAAGAATTAAGCACCGTATGTCAATTATCATGATAACTTGTCCATATGGTCCTCTTTACGTTGTGGCTATTTAATAAGGTAAATCGATTTGCATTTTTGGGTTGTTTTTAGGCTAATGCATGTTATTGCGAATCTTTGGTTGTATGACGTTTTGTTTGTGTTTATATACAATGTGCACTTAGGGTTACAAAATTTGCCTCAATTGTTAATCGGAAGTTATATTTGTTTATATCTATTATGGGCTTGTATAGAAATGTGAGATCATCGTGATGGTAACACAAATTTGTTGGAGATTAATTCGAATTTAGTTATGTTTATTGAAAATTGATAACCAAACCGAACTAACAACTACTAGCAGTAGTAGTGGTAGGAAAGTGAAAATGATGTCGAAGCTGGCATTAGATGATTAATGTGGCAAAATCAGCCATCTTTGTCATTTTACTATTTATGGAAATGTTGAAATTGTTGATATGCTATGAATTTGGTATTAACGGACTAAATTAATTCACATTGCAAATCTTTCAAGCTAAAAAAGAAGCATATGATCCTTTATTTGTCGTTTAGCGTAAATTAGAAAGTATGACATCGTAGGCAATGACATCTATCATATTAAAGGATAGCGGTGAAATGGAAATGATGAGGTGAAAAACTTATTTTACGAGAGACCGAACACTTTTTCATTTCGGTCACAAACTAATGTATACATACATGCATACATATAATATATATGCATACATATAATATATATATATATATATATATATATATGCTTGTATGTATGTAACTTAACAAGGTAGAGTTTTGGTATATCTCAAAACATATGTATCTTTTAGATACATTACTTGTTAACGATTTTATATTACCTTATAAACCAGATTTATCAAAAGTCTTAAAAACAATTTTTAATGTACAAAGTACTATACATTTATGCACAAAGTCTTAAAAGTCTTAAAAAAACTCATAATGCATTAAGTACTACTAGTTTATGCATTCAGTCTTAAAATCTACTAATCTACAATTAAAATAACATATAGTACAAGTTACCAATGCACATTATTACATTTTCTTTTCATGTTCCCAAGATACTTTTGACACCTTTCACTCATGCCTTCATCCTCTCATACCTCTATGTCTTCTCCACACCCCCTAAAGTGAGATTCAAACTGATATTCACCATGAGTTATTTAAAAGTTCTCTTATTCATCTCTCATTCAATTGCTCTAGAACTTTTGGTCTCGGTCTCGATCTCTTAAATCTTTGCTCTTGTTGTAAATCGAACACATATGTGGAGTCGTTTAAATATGTTGGATTTTAAATATATTGGATTTTAAAATGTCATACAATTTTTTTTCATCAATATACTGTAATTGAAACTATAACTCTTAATTATTCAAATTATATTAATATGTAAAGACTAAGTGTAACTTATATCATCGTTAAATATTCTCTAATAAAACCAGTAAAACTTCAAAATCGTTAAAATTCATAGCTCCTGCTGCATTGCGTGGGTACACAACTAGTATATTTACACCAAGGACTAGTTTTGAAAAGATTTTGTTGACATAGGGGCCAAATTGACAATTTTTGAAACTCCTTATTGTGATAGACAGGGAACATCCACTCATTTAATTTTTAGTCTTATTTTAATTTAAAATATAAAAAATTGTAATTATTATTTTATAGTTGAATCAATCAAATGCTTCATAACAAAATAAAAAATAACGAAACTTATTAATTTAAACTTGTCAAAATGAATAGTATCAAATAAATAATTAATATTAATTAGAAAATAAAAGAAAAAGAAAAAGAAAAAGAAAAAAGACATGTGTTGAGTAAAAGAAGCACATGGTTTTTCTGACAAAATCTAATATATTCCATCTGCTAGTAAATGGAAATTTTTTTTGTAATTGTGTTTGTTTGTCTTCTTACTACATAATTAAATAAATATAAATAAAAACAAAAATGTACTGTCATATATTTTTTATTTTTTTAGTATTTTTATTTTATAAATAATTTATTTAAATCGTAAATAAAAATGCTAAATATTTTCCCTTAATATTATTATATTGTAGAGCACATGATATTATTGAGAG